ACGACACCCCCCAGATCCCGACGACACCCCCAGACCCCAATCACACCCCCGGATCCCAATTACCCCCCCAGACTCTGACTCCCTCACACTCCCCAGACCACGATCGCGCCCCCACACTCTGACCACGCTCCCAGAGTGCGACTGTGCTCCCCAGACCCTGGTTACCCCCCCAGACCCTGGGTACACCCCCAGACCCCACCCCTGCACCCCTCGAGCCCGGGCCACGACCCCCAGCGCCCCTGGCCCCGCCCATGAGCTGTAAGCCCCGCCCCCTTGGCCAGGCCCCGCCCCGCACCACTTGGCCCCGCCCCATCAGCGGCAGCAGCTCCTGCCGGGGCTTCTCCAGCTCCACCGAGATCCGGACCCGCTGTCCCGGTGCCGCCGCCCGGTTGTGCCGCTCCACCCGCTCCAGCATCGCCTCCTGCTCCGCCGCGTTCCGGGCCTGCGGGCACGGGCACGGCTCCGCCACCGCCGGGGGTTCGCCGGCCCCGGGGGGGACCCCCCGGTCCCGGGATGCTCCGCCCTCTTGGGATGCTCCCCAGCCCGAGGAGTTCCCCCAGCCCCGGGCTCACCCACAGTCCCAGGGAAAATCCCCCTCCAGCCCCGGGGGTCCCTCTAGCCCCAAGGGTCCCCCCAGCCCCGGGCTCACCCACAGTCCCAGGGAAATCCCCCTCTAGCCCCAAGGGTCCCCACAGCCCCGGGCTCACCTCAAAGTGGATCCACTTGTACCGGGACAGGTCGACCCGCTCGAAGTCGCGGGCCGTCACATCGGGCAGGTTCCTGCGGGACGGGCGCCAGGTGGGGCGGGGGGACCCCCAGCCTGGCACGCGGCCGGGGGCGAAGGGCAGTGCCAGGGGCTGTGCAGGGCCCCACGCTGCCGGGACAGAGGTCCCGGGGGTGACACCGTCCGGGTGAATCATTAATGATGGCTTTTGGGACCCTGAGCTCGACTCGAAGGGCAGCGCAGCGGTGGCCAGGCCGGGGCCGCGGTTCAGCGATGCCCGACAGCCCCCTGACCCTTCGGCACGGCCGAGGGAGCACCGGGCAGGGGCCATGGGGGTGCCGGGTGTCCCCACGGGGCCGTGCCCTCTGCCCCGCGCCCCAGAACCTGTGGCCGTGTGGGGATGTCACCGCCAATGCCGGCGGGCGGCACAGGGGGTGAACGGGGGGCTGCGGGGACCACCGGCGGGACTGCGGGGAGTCAGGCAGCGGGAGCCGTGCCCGTGTAACCCCGAGCTGGCACAGCCCGGCCGCCCGCAGGTGCCGGGCCCTTACGTGTCGTGCAGGACGATGGTGCGGGAGCCGCTGGAGGCGTTGACGAGGCAGCAGGCGCAGGGCACGTCCCCGCGGGGCTGCCAGGCGATGTGCGCCGTGTCCACCCCCCGGCGCTGGAAATCCGCCGCGATGAAGCTTCGGGGGACAGAGAGCGGGGTGAGGGGCCCCGCACACCGCCGGGAGGGGCGGGACGGTGCGGGTGCCCCGGCGGGCGCCGGTGGCGGCGGCGGGGGCAGGCGGGCAGCGGGTCGAGGCTGCCGGTGGAGTGACACGGAGAGGCCGGTGGAGCGTCAGGGCGGGTCGGCCCCGTGCCCGGTGCTGGGGGGGAGTCCCCGCACCCCACTTACTCGGCGGCGGGGCCGGGGACCAGCGAGCCCATGAAGGCGCAGGGGGCTCCCAGCAGCGCCAGCACCGTGCAGGAGTTGGAGGCGTTCCCGCCCCGCTGCCACCGCTGCGACACGCACCTGCGGGGCACGGACACGAGGCTGCGGTGGGCGCGGGGCCGGTGCGGGAGGCACCGGCGGGGCCGCCCCCGCTGGCGGTACCTGGTGTCGGAGTCCTCGGCCGGGAAAGTCTCCACCACGCTGATGATGTCCAGGCACACCAGCCCCACGCACAGGATCCGCCGCTCGCCCGCGGCGCCGCCCGCCCGCGCCGCCATCCCGGACCCGCTGCGGTGCGGGACTGGGAACGGGACCGGGACCGGGATGAGGACCGGGCACAGACCCCGGACCGCCGGCATGGCCACGCCCCCGGCCACGCCCCCGCCGCCCAGCGCCGCCAATCAGCGCCCGCCGCCGCGCCGGGCCCTCGCTGGGCGGGGCGAGGATGGGTGTGGTCGAGTAGGACACGCCCCCAGCGCGCCACGCCCCCGCCCCGCGTGCACATAACGGGCAGGAAGGGACAGACACCCCCCCAAATCCACTCACCCCACACACACCCCACACATACACACACACGGACAAACACATCCAACACGCGTGACCCTTGGACACACGGACACACGGACAGGGACACACGGACACTCCGTGTGGGAGCCCCCGGGGAGGGACCGGGACCTGCCGACCCTTTGCACAACGAAGGGCCCGGGGACCTGCGGCCCGGCCAGGTGAGGGACACCTGGGGACAACAGGAGCCGAGCATTCCAGGCTTTGGGCACAGCCAGGTGAGGGACACCTGGGGACGGCAGGAGCTGAGCATTCCAGACTTTCCCGTGCTCAGGCTGTGAGGGGATAAATGCTCAGGGGTTCCTTTGTTCGGGGTCCCTCCTCGGAGGCACCAGCTCGAGCTGTTTGGGTTTTTTTTCCTTAGTTATTGCATCAATATGAAATCATTTTAAGGGTTGAGACGTCTGAGACTGCGGTGGGAAAGCTGGGACTGAGCTGGTGAGGGGAACTGGTCTGACCGGGGCAGGGTGGGGGGTCGGTCCCAGCTCGGGTGGGGTGGGTGTGGTGCCGGAGCAGCTCCGGGGTGGTCGGACAGGGGAGTTTCTTTAACAGTTTGGCGACCCAGGTGCGGCCCCGGGCCACCCGCTCTGGAGCCTCCCTGCTCCAAACCCCTGCCTGCTGGCACCGGGATGAGCTCACCGGGATCTTTGGAGCAGGGAGGAGCCAAAGGGATCGTTAAAATTCCCTGAGCAGATTCAGTGTCAGTGATCAGGGTTTGTTATTAAGCTGCTCCGATTCTCTCAGTGTCTCCGTGGGTGCACGGTCGGGGGAGTCCCTGCAGTGGGTCGAGTGTGGGATCGTGGCCTGAGCAGGGGAGGGGAAATGGGGGGTTTGGGGGCTCGCCCGAGGCGTGCAGGGGGTTGGGATCCCTCGTAAGTTGAAGTTAAGGGGGATTTATGACTATTTTTAGCACATCCAGCACAGCAAAGGGGATGCTCTCGGCCAAGGTTGTGCAATTGGGAACATGGGGGATGATTTGAGGCTTCACTGACCCTGGGAGAGGGAGAGAAAAGATTGATGGGAGAGTCGAAGCATTTGAGAAGATTAAGAGGGAAACTGTTTAAACCCCGGGCTCTGTCCGTGCTGCAGACGGTGTTTAATGTCCGGTGATTCCCTCAAGGCGCTTCAAGAGTTTCTTCTGCAGCAAAGAGCCCGTCGGTGCCCGGACACAACCCCCGGGGAAGGAGTTGGTCACCTGAGGTCGCTGTTGTGTGCTCGTGGGATCTCCTCAAAAAGAGGGATCCGGGGACATCCCCATCCAGGGGCAGCTCAGCTCCAGCCCATGCTGTTTGTACCTGTCTGGGGGGTTTGCTGGGGTGTGAAGCTGAAATCCCACCCCAGGAGCGGGTTCTGCAGAGGGTGAACGTCAGCTGAGAGGCTGCTTTGATTTGGGGGGGTGTGTGTGAGACCCCTGAGTTTGTAACGGTGGGAGCTCTGCGTGTGTTTCTAAAAAAATATTTCTAAAAGCACATTTTCCTACGTGCACATTTCTGTTGGGTGAGTGGATGGAGAAGAATGCAAAAGAATGAGTAGAACTGTTGCGATTGTTCTCAGGGAATTGCTGTGTTCTGTCTGTGACTGGAGGCTTCCCCCGGGCCTGGTTTGCTACTTGGGCACAGCAGGAGGAGACTGTTTGAGTTTTCACGTTAATGTTATTTATATTAAATAACATCGGCTATAAATATTTATATTAAACAGCTTCATTTCCTTCCAGGAGGACGATCTGCAGAGTCCTGCCCGAGCAGGAGAGGGGTTGTGGTGCCTGATGGTTTGTACGGCCCCTCTGGGGAGAAGGGAAGGAAAAGGCTTTTGCTACTTAAATAAAAAAAAACTAAATGAGAAAATGGTTTAAAAGTTCTGTTGTGGTTTTACGGAGATTGAGGGTTCAGCCCCTTGGATCTGCAGAGAATTTTGGCACTTCCTGGGCCAATCAACCAAACCTCTGGCTGAGGCAAACAAGGACTATCAGTTAAGTGAGGAAAAGGAGAGGAGGCTGCAGGCAGAGGGGCTGCTTGCTGCCGGGTTTGGTTGGGCTGGAGAGGTTCAGGCAGAGCTTTGGGATGCACAAGAGAGAGAGAGAAAATCCCATGGGAAAAATTGCAGGATGCAGAACCCGAAACATCTTCAGAAACAGTCTCGTAACTCGGAATTTTGTGAATGGGTCTTTTGTTCTGATAAAGAGCGAGACAGTAACGTTTGCATTGATGCATCTGATGATGAGGAAGCAACATTACGACCTTTCATTAAAATTGATGATTGTTGGGGTCAGTAAACTGCCCCTAACCCAGAGCCATCTGCCAAACCTCAGCCTCAGCCGCTGAAAGATCAAAGTTTGCCAGTAAATCAGGCGAGTCCGAAACCCAGCAAGTGGAATGCTGTCAATGCACCCCACACATTTGGACTCCAGCTGGTCCTTACCAGCAATTAATAACATTTCTGATAGATCTGGGAATGCAACATTCAATATTAATGCAGAGTGGGAGGCTGAGGGGCCGTGGGTGTGACCCGGGCAGCAAAGAGTTAAAATCACCGGAGTAAACAGAGCAAGTGTTATCTGCCGAGTTTGTGGCTCCTGGGTGAGAAGTGAAGGCTGCTAATCTTAACCCCGAAGGAAACCCAGAGGCTGCAGTGCTGCTGCACTCCCTGGCTCGGGGATTGCCGGGGTATCTCAGGGCTGGATTTCTGCTGCAGCACGAGATGGAATTTCTGAAGTTGAGGCTGATTTGGCTCCTCTGAGAGCTGCAGAACCCAACACCACAACCCAACAGCCACCCAGGTGCTCGGGCAGTGGCGGGGGTCTCACACTCCTCCTCTAACCCTCCCGTCTGGGCAGTTTATTAGGGGCAGTTAAATGCCAATGCTGTGCCTTTAACTGCTGCTGTGACAAATCCTGTAGAAATGGGAACTCAAATTCAGAAAGCCAGGGAGGTGTGAAAATCCCTCTGCCTCAGGCCCTTTTGGCTTCTGGGTTTCTTCTGTGGTACCGAACCAACGCCGATGGATTGTTCCCGTTTTTCAATAATTGGTCTGTAGCAGGCAAAACTTTCACTTTTTGTTTGACAGGAACCTTCTGACAGGTGACATCGAGCTGTGTGGAACTGATGGAACCTTTAACTGCCCCCATAATTACCTGTATTATCACTTTATTAATTTTTGTTCCTTTTTTTTGTGTTTTTAATATCACGAGCACCTTGTTGAGGCCCAAATATGAGTCGGATTTTATGAGACAGAACACTTTATGTGTTCTTAGTTTGATTTTTGATAAGTTTATTTTGTCTTTTTGCTGGGAAAAAAAAAAGGAAGAAGAATGGTGCGGGTAAAGCTTTTGCTTTTGTCTTATGGATGTATGACTTTGTCTCAAGGAACTGAGAATCAGGGAATTCAACTAAATTTAGTACAACTAAACTAACTTTGTACAACTTTGTCCTGCAGGATTAACGATGGCAAGTCAGATATATTTATATAAAAATAAATTATTTATTATGATAGATGATTAGACAAAAAGATCTTAATCAGAATTATTTACTACACAGTATAGAAGCTAAAACTACTCATACAGTTTAGTGTACTGCATCAAAGCAATTATATTAAAGCAATTATATGAAAACAACTACATTAAAGCAATTACAATAAAACAATTATATTAAAGCTAGCAAAAAGAAAACAATTATTACATATTTACAATATACAATATACAATTTACAAATAAACATTATTACATTATGTTACTCACCCAGACCAATATAATTGGACAAATCTCTTTGGCTCAGCCTCGAGGGTGTGAGATGTATTATAATCATATATTATACCTTTACATACAAAATTGTTACAAAAATCAGTTAGAATTTAGTTAGCAACATTAAACAGAGCATAATATAGAATTAGCTATTGATTCTGGCAAGAAACACTGTTATTATTTCAATTGATGTGTTTCTGGAGTGGTGAGCATCCTCATCTGCTGGATTAGGTACCACACTCATATATGCAGTGATTATTAATAAAAACCACATTCTGATTAATAGCAATATTATAACAACTGGGTGTAACATTGAGGACTGTCCAAACGAGTCAATCCCACTTCCCATCTGTTCCCCATCCCTTTTCACTCGCTCCAGGCCACGGGGTATTTTTATCAACTCACCAAACCATTCCCAGCTCCCCCACCCCGTTTCTTGGGAGTAATGAGGTGCACGGAAAACCCACTTGCTGCTCCCCTTTTTGGGCCAGTCTTGCACCATCACACTGTAAACTGTGATCCATTGTCACTTTGTGCGGTCTGGGACAGGGAGGCTGGAAAACCAGTCCCGAAATAGCAGCTTTGGCATCAGCCCCGGCAGTGACAGCCCAGGGGCCGCTCCCACACCTGTCCGTGTGTCCTTCCAGCCGCTGGATGGCCCCAGAGGGACAATACAATCCATTGGACCGGAGTGTCTCGTTATTTTTGGTTTGCCGAGGCGGTGCCAAGCCCGGGTGGTTTTGTCCCAGCCTTAACTGGCACTGGGGGCACTGTGTGGGAGTTGCCTTTACACATCTCCCTGGTCAGCAGCCAGCCTCCAATTCGGGCTGCAAAAAACGAAGCTTCCAGTCCAGTTTGCCCCAGTTTACAGTGTGGCCACTCCCCCAGCTGGTACCAGTGCTCAGGATCTTCCAGTTAATCAATTTTTGATGTTTGTCACCTGATCCACCCGGTTGTTCCAATCAGCCTGGGAGGGTTTATCTCGGGCACGAGCTTTGACCCCTCTGTGTGGATTGGTGGGGACTGAGCCTGTAACAACAAACATTTCCAAATGGTGGGTGCTGGTGAATTTTCTCTACTTATTGAAGAGCTCGGGTCAGAGGTAATAATCTCCTTTACCAGTCAGTTTATCTTTTTTTCAGTATCTTTTAATGCTGTGGAGCTGAACCTCAATGGTCATTTGGGTTTATTTGGGCCTTTCTGGAACATATTATAGTCAGTGTCATGTTCAGCAAAACCCCATTCAACTCTTACAGGATCACTGGGGTGAACTGGCCCAAGTGACTGATGTATTTTTAGCTCTTCTATCAGCGCTTGCAAAGCCTGTTTGTGTCTGTCAAGGCACTCCCAGGTCTGTTTTTTCCTCATTAACGCATACAAGGGTCTTGCTATTATAGAAAATCCAGGAAAATTATTTCTCCGGCATCCTGAAGGAGTGGGTATAGCACCTGATCTTGTGATGGTTTCACCTGGCACTGCAGCCTGACCTGCAACCCACCAGCTTCCCAGGAATTTCACCTCTTCAGAGGGTCCCTGGCATTTGGCAGAGGGCACTTCTACCCCCTCCTCATTTAATTTATTCCACATATCCTGCGCTGTTTTTCTCACTGCACTTTCCCCTTCACCCCCTGTCAATGCATCATCGATGTATCCATAGATTTGTGCCCCTTCCAGGATTTCTGTTTGTTGAGAGAGTTCAGGTAAAGCCTCCTGTGCCATTTTAGGTGAATGCTGATCCCCCTCGGGCAGGTGATTAAAGGGTTATTTGATTCCTTCCCAAGGAAATGTAAATTTAGGTTTATCTTCTTCCTGGAGTGGAACATATCTTTCACATCTACAGCTGCCACCCCTTTGGCTGCAGGAGGAGCAGGATCCTGTTTGATACTGCTCACAGCAGAAACAGGTAAAACTGCAGACATTTTAAATAGATTAATTTTCCTATTTTTCTCCCCAGAAAATTCACTATATGGAGTGTTTGGTGGGCCCAAATGACCAAACACTCTCTTTGGGAAATTGCCAAACTTTTCCTTTAGGGACATCATATCCTAAAAGTGTTTTCCCTGTGATCTGAAATTGCAAAGGTGTGTCAGGTCACTCATTTTTCCCAAAATAACCTTAAACAGACTCTGGCAGTGTGACAGACAACACTCTGTCCCTGGAATCCTGTTAGACAGACCCCTTTCCTCTTAAAACTTCAGTTTAGTTTTTCAGCATCCGTGGGGGTGATCAGAGATATCTGGGCTCCTGCATCAATTAGAAAATCCAAACGTTGCTGTTTGGGTCCCCCTGATGAGCGGATTTGGGGCCCATCCTTATCAGACCATTGCCAGGTCACCACGTGCTGGGTGAGGAGGCCCAAAGCTCACCCAGCATTTGGTGGGTTTTTCCCTTTTGTGTCTCTGTTTTCCCAGAAGGGCTGTGAGGTGTGTTTTTCCCGGGGAGGTTTTTTGTTATTCCTGTTTCCCTCTTGCTGTGCTTTGGCTGAGTTTGCTGTCACTGCAGTGGGGTGTCCCCTGGGAGCTGCTCTGGGGCCACCTGAAGTCACCGTGTCCCCCACACTCCTTTTGCTGTTCCCGTGAGTGAGAAGGGGGGGTTGGATCTTTCTTTTCTCTTGGGTGGGTCATGTTTAAATTCAGATCTCCCCGTTGCAGTTTTTGGGCTCCTCTCAACAGCCTGAGTTTGCTCTCCAGGGTGGTTTTCCCAGCCCATTTCCCTTGCATGGTTTATCTAATCATGGAAAGGTTCTGCCCCTGTGGGGATCGATCACCCCATGGCCTGTGGGTCTTGTGAAGGTTCATTGTGCGTCACATCTCTGCTGATTCCATCTCATCACCCCACTCAGGATGTTTTTAACATCGTTGGGGCTCCTCTCAAGAGAGATCTTAACACATCAGGGCCCAGCTCTGCGAGATTGGGGGGTCTGTGTTGGCATCTCCTGGAGGCAAAGCTGCCTCGGGCCCGCGGGGGAGATTTCCTGGGGTGACCCTGTGGGTGTGGAGCTGCTTCTCCTCCTCCCAGAACATTTGTTCCTCCTGCCCAACATGCAGCCCTGCCGGTTATGGGATGGGGTGGATTGGCAGGCTCAGGTCCCAGATTTAATTTAATTTAATTTAATTTAATTTAATCCCAGACTCCTGGCCCCCAGAACGCAGCACTCTCAGTTCCTGCAGCACTCTCAGTTCCTGCAGCACTCTCAGTTCCATGCAGCAACATTCTGGCTCCCCAAAGGTTTCACTCTCCACAAATCCCCAGTCTCTGACTCACCTGGTTTTCATCCACGTTTTTCCTGTGGGTTTGCCAGTTGCAGGGGGGTCCCAGGGAGTGGCTCTGACCCTGTTCTTCCTCTGACCTCCCCGAGGTCCTTCACACACTTTGGTCTTAATTGTGGGTCTCATTTTTTGTTCTGGAACCTCTCCCTCTGCAGGAGGTGGGGGTTCAATTGTTCCATCAGAGTCCCACTCTCCCTCACCAGCATTTCCATCAGGGCTTTCCCAAATGTCACCATCCCAGTTCTCAGGTGATACTATTAATATTCCTATTTTACTACCATCCAGAGGATTGGGGGCTTTTAATAATGTCCATTCTGATTTTCCTTCCAAGGTTTTTTCCTTTCATTGGGCTCTTTTAACTGTTGTTTTAATTGGCCATTTTGATGCTGTACAGACAGTTCTACATGTTTTCTTCCTTTTATTTCACCTCTCAGATTATTAGTTTCTTTTATCATTTGTTCTCTCCATTGCCACAGAACCTTTAAGCACAATCCCAGTGCATGACTGATGACACCTTTTCCTTTTTTTATCTTTCTGTGATTCTGGGTTTTGTCTAATTTCTCTTGTGTCCCTTCCCACTCACACCAGTTGTCCACTGGCCCAGGACCATCAGTGTTAATAATGTGTGTCCTGGGCCTCTGGAAATATCCTGTTGGGCCTTTTGTCTGTTTCTCAGAACTGGGATGGGATGGGATGGGATGGGATGGGATGGGGAGTCCCTAAACCCTGCAGCGAGGGAGAACACAGAAAGACTGAGCCCTTCCCAGTTTTCAATTCCCTCCTCTCCCAGAACTACGATCATGGCTCTGGATCTCCACCTCCTGCCGACAGCGGGAATGTCACCTCAGAGAAATGATTTCCCTGAGAATCTGCTCACATTGGGATTTGCTGCTCCAGAGTGGGACAGAACCAGGGCCTGGCTGTGCAGCAGGGATCCAATTGATCCTAAATGTAACCTGAACTGGAGAGAAAAGTGGGTCCAGAGGAGGCCCCGCAGATGCTGCCAGGGCTGGAGCCCCTCTGCTCTGGAGCCAGGCTGGGAGAGCTGGGGGTGCTCAGCTGGAGAAGGGAAGGATCCAGGGAGACCTTGGAGCCCCTTCCAGAGCCTAAAGGGGCTCCAGGAGAGCTGGAGAGGGACTGGGGACAAGGGATGGAGGGACAGGACACAGGGAATGGCTTCCCACTGGAAAAGGGGAGGTTTGGGTGGGATATTGGGGAGAAATTCCTCCCTGTGAGGGTGGGGAGGGGCTGGAATGGAATTCCCATAGGAGCTGTGGCTGCCTCATCCCTGGAAGTGTCCAAGGCCAGGTTGGACAGGGCTTGGAGCAACCTGGGCTGGTGGAAGGTGTCCCTGCCCATGGCAGGGGGTGGAATGGGATGAGCTTTCTGGGATAGATGATCTTTTTTCACATCACCAACACTGGAGCTGCATTAACAGAACAGCCACACACCAACCCTCTCCAGAGAACTGTTAAAGAACCCTCCAGTTACCAGACAGAGGCAGATCATGTCCCTGGAGCTCACCTGATGATGGCACTGAAGATGCCGAGAGCACCCGAGGGCAAAAGGCTCAGTCCCAACCTCACCATTAATTAAACCCATCAACAGCCGGGGCACAAACTGGGGCTGGACACCCCCTGTCCCCACCCCCTGTCCCCAAATCCTGATGTTTCCCCTCCAAATCATCTGCCCGGGAACCACGAGCACAAACACTTAAACCCTGGACCCCGGGGCGAGGGACGGAGCCGGAGCCGCGGGTACAAAACCCGGTGCCGCGTCTTTATTGGGGGGCAGTGGGGGGGCCGGGGGGCGGCGTGGGGGGGGCCGGGGCGGGCGGTGTGGGGCGGGGGCGTGTGACGGTGGGGCGGCGAGGGCTGGGGGGTGCTGATAAATAAGGGGGCGGGTGGGGGGGGGTCCCGTGGGGGTGTGGGGACCCCCCGGCCCGGCTGTGCCCCCGCCGGGGGCCCGGCGGCTCTAGGGCTCCTCGGCGTCGTAGAGCAGGGCGGCGCTGAAGGTGGTGAGGGGCTCGTCGGGGGCGTGGGCCAAGCGCCCCGACACCAGCTCCACGCACAGGGTCTCGCCGGCCGCCAGCGGCAGCAGGAGGCTGAACACGCCCAGGGCACCGGGGCTGGGGGCCTGCGCGGCCACCGGCCCCTTCTCCAGCCCCTCGGGCTGGAATCCGGCCGAGTCCAGGCGGGCGATGCCGTGGCCGGAGCGGGACAGGACGGCCTCCAGCCCCTCGCCCCGGTGCCCCGTCAGCACCGCGCTCACCAGGTACCGCCCGGGCACCGGCGCCGTGAACGTGCCTGCGGCAGGAGGAGGGGATCAGGGACCCCCAGGAACCCCCCGGTGCCCCCAGAGCGGGCTCTGCAACCCTCGGATCCCCCGCGGCACCCCGCGGCCAGCGGCACACCCTGGAACAGGCACAGCACCCCCCGAGAGCTCCCGGCCACCACCACACCCGGCATCACATCCCCCTGTGACCGCGCAGCCCCCTCACACACCGGAGCCCCCGCTGGAACCTCCATCACCCCAAAACCACCCCACAGCCCCCGCTGGAACCCCCATCAC